CCACACACACACACAAACACACTGTAACAAGCACGCCGTCTCCCATAGCCATCAGGTCAGATAGCGGCCGGAAGTGAGCGGGTGAATCAATGTGCAGCCCACAGAACACAGCGCTGGGACATGGACAGAGAGCACACACCGCCAGCTTCCTTTTTTATTATTTTTTTATAAGTGTTTTCGCAACTGCATAAGGTCATATGAGCGCACGGGACAAATTTAACATTTTATGTTGGTCGGAAATTTTGAATTTTACCCGGGTGGCGGCCAAAGCCGACTCTTATCGATTTTAGACTACCAAGGGTTTTTTAACGCGCACAACTTGCACACGGGACCTATGAGTTTTTTTCGCCTTCGTTCGAGAAGGCTAGGTGTAGATCTTTCCTACCAGAAGATCAGGGGTGTGGCTGAAAGACAACAGTAAGAAGGGGCCAGGGAGTAGCAATAGAAAGGCAGCAGAAGGAGTCAGGAGCCCAATGAGGTGGGGGCAGATAGTGGAGGCGAAAGCAGACGACAGAACATTTTCCCAAGACTTTTTCAAATTTCCCAAAATTCCAAGAGTTTTCCACGACCAGTGCGAGCCTTGCAAAACCTCACAGCAAAGGGGAGCCACGGGGCTTTGGGGCAGTTCACAGTACAGTCCGCTTACACCTAATCCGGTTAATCTGAAAACAGCTGTTAACCGAAAGAAAACAAAATCCCCGAGCCATTTTTTTCTCCCACCCGATCAATCAATCTCCCCAGCCCCAACACCCGACTGCACCGGAGATAGTCTGGTGATCCCACATACTTCTGTGCTTGGGCGGACTCCACTGTACTTGAACATTTACCAAGTCACATTTGTAACCCTATGTCATGATTGAAATAAGAAGAAAAAGCACGACAGAAACAACAATGGTAAAACAAAACTAAGATCCCCCCCCCCCCCCCAGCAAGTATTCTCAACCTATAAAAAAAGATTGCAACTTTCTTGCTTGTAAAAAAATTCGAAAGGATTCAAGTACGGTACCTACAGTAAATTAGAGAGGACAGCAAGATGCCAACACTGTGGTCCCACCATTTCTACAACGTAACAATTGTGTCGCGTGAATATTTCTCCTATATGTACAACTGTGTCTCACGAATATTTCTCCTATATGTTCAACTGTGTCTCATGAATATTTCTCCTATTTGTACAACTGTGTCTCATGAATATTTCTCCTATTTGTACAACTGTGTCTCATGAATATTTCTCCTATTTGTACAACTGTGTCTCA